GTATCGTCTTCAATTGTGTGTGTGCGTGAGAGAGAGAGAGGTGATTTCCGCTCTTCTTCTTYTTATCCTACACACACACACACCCACACACACACACACACACACACAAACAGAGAGAGAGAGAGAGAGAGAGAGAGAGAGAGAGAGAGAGAGAGAGAGAGAGAGAGAGAGAGAGAGAGGGACTGGAGACATGACATCGGTACTCGGGAGCCAGGCTATCTGACTCACGATCTGAGATTCATTGCTGGGGGCATACAAGAGATTGGAGGGAGAGGTAGGTGGAAGAAAGATGGCCATTATTTGGCGCCGCCATACATTTGGGTCACGTCTTTCTTCCACTTCTTCTTCTTCTTCTTCTTCTTCTTCTTCTTCTTCTTCTTCTTCTTCCTCCAATACTCCCGTCTCCCATCCGATATTCGGCTAGGTATGATTACAGCGGGAGGTCGCTTCTATGTCTGGACCCCTCCTGTTGGGTGTGAGGTTGGATTTGAGTCACGTTGTCATTACTGCTACGTCGTCAGTCAGTCCTATCTTCTATCTGATTTGAGTCTTTTGCTGTGCTACATTGCATCTCTTCCTTATGTTGGTGACCTTTGGACTTGCATTGTCAACGGTTCACTCCGGGCATTCATCAATTGCCCTGCCCTCCTTTTTGCGTTGCTGTTAAACGGTGCTCTTTTCTTCCTTTTTTTCACGTTTTTTTTTTTTTTTTTAATACTTTTTTTCACGTTTTCATTTGCCTCATCATTTGTTTCTCCTTGTTCTCACAGGATCTAAAAAAAAATCTCTTTAGGAATGATAGGGTTGATTGTCAAAAAGGGTATATGTGTCAGACTGGGTTCCTATTTCTATCCTTTTTTTTTTTTTTTTTCTGTTCTCCCCTCTTCCCCCCTTTCCTCCTGTCTCTTATACACATCTAGATGTGTATAAGAGACAGGTGTAGGTTACATCATAGAGAACTCACAAAAAAAAATTCAGAAAACCAAAAACTTATTTTTAGGCCCCGAAAAGTTTTTTGGCGGGGGCCGAACCTGGAGGTGTTCGGGCAGGTAACCCTGCCAATACCAATTTTAACGGATGTCCCGAAGGATTTTTAGTATCTTTCTCCCATTATTAAAAAAAAAAATAATAATAATAATAATAAAAGCTCAGTCCTGATGCTACCGGCTGACCCCTGGCCGGTATCGCCCACCTGCTGTAGCAGGTATCGCACCTGCTGGTGGTTGCAGTTCCCTCGTTGGAGGCTTGAGCACGGATGTGGCTGCTATGGGGTTCCCCGTAATACTATAATGACAATAAAAAAGCCCTAAAAGGCCGTCCTGTCCAGATTTGACAGGTAATTGAATTGGTTGGACATCGAAATTCTTTACCAAATTGAATGAAAACATGGGGGGGGCGTTGTGGCTGGGCGGTCCTGCGCTGGTAGCTCTCCGCTCTGAAACGATGCGGGCGACGGAATTCACCGCGGTAACTCATGGTGAAGCTCCTAGCCATTACCTCGTCGATACCTCCGCCATCGCCGACGGAGTTCGAGGAGTTGTTCTCTCCCACCTTTCGTGGGCCCCGATTCATTCGGATACAACTCCTTCGAGGTAACCCTAGATCCCAGTCCTATACCAGAGTTAGGCAAAACAGTACCATAGAATAGGTGGCATATTTGGCTCAAGAGTTAAGCGGAAGGGGTAGTCGACACCGCTGTAGGAGCGGAGACGTTGTTAACCTAACCGAGGGATGCTCAAGCTAAGCCTCCTCCCATTCGCCTGTAGTCCTTGGTGCCCCGTTCACTCTGTCTGACGGAGAGTATGGTAAGGAACATAGGCGCCACGCCGGCGGAAAGTAGGAATGGTAAACACTGGTGAGTATATATCGACTTCATACCTAGTCGGCTATGCTCAGATTTACCACCTCTCAAATAGCAAATTACCCTAGTGTTCCCCGGGTTGCTCCGATTAACGGAAGACGAAGGGAAGGTGGATGATTCTCCTCAGACAGAGGACAGGATAGCATTTACCGGAAGAGAGAGAGGAGGGTAACGAGTACATCAACAGTAACTCTGGATTCGGTAAACTGCACAAGGAAGGCTGGGGATGAAGTCGCCATAATCACGTCGGTAATACAATGGAGTACGAGTTGTTCTGGCGCAAGATCAAATCAGGATCATGTCAAGGTCAGGGGGACCTCCCCATCCGGGGATAGGCAAGGTTTCAGTAGAATTCAAGGCACTCGGGGGAGCTTTTCCGGAGTAACGGGGAGTCCGGTCGATGACAGGTCGGATGACCTGCTCAGCAAAAGGCCTAGGTCGAACGATGCCATGGCTATTACCTGTCCACAAATCCTAAGAGGAGGAGTGCGTAGTACATGGGAGTTGCTGCTCTACAATTAGGTGAAGCACTCCTCACTTTAAAGGAAGGAAATTGTTTAACGAATGGCAAAAGGGGAGTGGAGCATGCACATCAATAACAACTCCCGGTGTCGGGGAAGTGCATAAGGGGAGGCAGGGTAGAACTCACCGGAATTACAGAGGCAAGGCGAGGAATTACGAGAAGCTACTGGCGTGGTGATCAGGGAGGCTCTCCCGTCCGGGGTTAGTCTATGTTGTCCGTGGAAGACAGGCACTCGTGAGGGTTCTTCTGGTCTAACACGGATGTCGGTAGCCTACAGGCCAGACGACCGATTCATTACAAGGCCTGAACAGAGCGCTGCCAAGGGGGAGGATGAGCCACATACACTAGGAGTAATGCTTCACACAGGGGGAACTAAGTATGGCACGTTTCGCATCCAGCAGCCAACAAAGTTTGGTGCACGGAAAACGGTGTAGTGCACGGGGGGTATAATGCCACATTACTACTTCGGGAGAGATTGCTACGAGGGAGGGTGTTCGGGGTATGCGTCCTATGGCAATGCTACTGGGGAGTTGATGCAATCACGACACTCATCTTTCAAGGAGAGCGACGGTGAGCTCGGCTCAGATTGGCTCTATCTCCTGGGGATGGTTTGCCTCGACACTGTATGATGAAGGGTCAATCAGATGTCTAGGAATGGCTAGTTCATTGTGGAAAAATACATCTATAGGAACACTGCATTCAGGAGGTTAGCTACCAGCCTAAGTACGAGGGTCAGGGAAGTACATGCGTGGACAGCTATCTCCCCACTGGACTTGCGGCCTATTGCTTCCCTGTAAGACAACAGTCAAGCAGTAGTACTAGAGAAACAGAAATGGAGGAGGAAGTGAGCGGGAGACCGCCCCCCCTCCGAACTTTTGGGCAATCGAGGACAGGGTAAGATAGTCCCTGGGTCAATGTTATGATGATGGGGTATTCCACCTGGCATCGGATTTAGGGGAAGTCGTAGTGGATGAGAAGGGAAAAAGGTTCAAGGTGAACGAGCCTCTGGATGCCATTAAAGAAAAACGGCTCAAGGAAAGAACTGTGATTTTCATTTTTCAAGACGAGGCGAAAAACCTGTCGAGAGGGGTGAAGGAGGACATGGTGAGGGTTTTCGAAGATGGCTGGTTTGCTCGACGACTGTTCAATCTAGGAGTAAGAAGAGGAAGAATTAAGTTCGAAGGCCCCAACGTAGTATCATATGTGGCCAAAGCGGTAGAAGTCGCAAATTGGCTAGTCCAGAAGGGCTCGACTACGCTGTCTCTCAAAGGTAAAGAGTACCCGGTCGCCTTCAAACCTTGGATGACCAAATCGGAGTTGAAGGAACTAAAATTGAAGGAGGCAAAGACCAATTTCTGGATTATGACACTTAGAGTACCACTGGATGCGATGTATTACCTACCTAGTGCAGTGGACGGACTCATAGGGGGTGTCAAGCATATGCACGCTCCAGAGGCAGACAAGAGCCGACCGAAGTTGATGAACATAAAGTTGGATATGGATCCACAAGCAAGATTTCGGGTAGAGGACACGCTGGCTATAGAGTCACCAAAGGGAGAGTTGTGGAGGGTGGAAGTTGCTACGCCGTTCTCAGACTGGTGCAGGAAATGCGGCTGGTACTTCCATACGGAGGAAAACTGCCCCCGTCAAGATAGGGAGGAGCGACCACGCAGACAATGGTTGAATCCGCAACAACCAGCTCAGAGGGAGGAAGTGGCGGATTCCTCAAGAAGAGAAGCAGGTCGAGAGGCAGGAGTTAACGCACAGGAACATGCAGCACATCCTGCGTACGAGCCTCCCTACAGAAGATCACAGGGATAACCAGCCGTAGGGTTGGCTACTGGGGAACGCTCAGTTCATGGTCCCGTGGTATCCGGTCATGTCCACCCGCTGACTGGATCTGCGCAACCTCAAGTAAATCAGGAGGAGACTATTCGCTCGGGAGGAGGTAACCCCGCAACGGACTATCGGCAGATTCATATGCAAACGATAGTCCCGCATCCAATACATTATGCTCAGCACACAGCATCCGCTCCACCGGTCATCAGCCATCATCAGGGCCTTGGGGGCCAACAGGGTAACCTTGTACCAGCGTGGTCCCACCCAGCCTATTGGCCTGGGAACTGTCCAGCCCCTCCCCCCCCCCCCCCCCCCCCCCCCCCCCCCCCCCCCCCCCCATCCTCAGCCCCCACTTATCTATGGCCCAAGGGCACTGGAACCCAACTGGGCCTCGGCCCATCCGGAGACCAGGTTGTACTACCCAGCACCAGTAAGGTCGTATCCTCACCAATACCATGTGGAAGCAGACCCTAGTAATGGAATGGCCCAGGCTTGGGAGTGGCCCAGGCAGGAGTACTCTCACCCGATTAGGGAGAGAGAGAGCCAGGAAGGGCGAGGATACAGACAACACTCGAGGAGGAGAGAGGTCTCACACCCCCAGCACAGCCTGGGTGGTAGACCTACCTGCAGCAGACGTGAGAAAGAGCGATTGGAGGATTATCAAAGGGAAGGGACGGGAAGGGAAAGAGCACAAGGAGGAGTGGCGACACAACTGTCACAATCTTCAAGATCCAGAGTTGGGATGGGGAGCGAGTTATTGGGAGATGAACTGATGGCGGTTGGCATTAAACGGTTGTATGAGGAACGATCCGGATCATCAACCGATAACTTTGGTGCTTCTCTCAGACACAATGCAGCGGGCTTGGGAACAAGAGGTAGAAATACAGCCCAGGCAGAAGGAGGGATTGGAAGCAGATCTAGGCGGTATGATGGGCAATTACTGATGGAAAGAAGAATCGTGCCCTTGGTGCGTTCAAAAGCAAGGGACGGTATCTTTTTCCTAGGGAGGGTCGATACAGAGGGGAGACAACACCTTCCATCAGAAATAACAGAGAAGACGCCAACACCACTGGAGGTGGTAGCTCGCGCCAAGAGGCTGTTCGGCAATGCCTTCCCAATGAGACTGGTTCCAAGATCTACGATGGCGAATGTTGTGATCGCGCTACATGACAAGGTTTACAAATACTATTTTCTTATAATGGATGCTCGGGTGGACCCCAGCATAGTTGGCGCTCTATCAGAGGCAGGCATCAGGTGGTTCCTCCTGGATGCAGTAAGGGAGCAAAACAGTCAGGAGTTGGATGTGATTGCTATCACATCGGAGGTTTCAGCCCTCCTTCTCCTGAGCTTGAATGAGAAGCTTCTAGAAAAGGAGAATCTGCACTCCAACTTCCTCGCCAGCGCTCTTGTGGAACCGTGGAGAATGTCATCTCAGTCGGCTCAGTCACAGTCGTCGAGAGGGAGCTCGATGATCAGATCCCCTGCAATGGCACAAGGGTGATGGGCTGATGAAGTCCAAGAGTCTAGCCGCATCCAAAATCCAGCGGGAAACACACATGTCAATGGTTAGGTGGAAAGTTGCGACGTGGAATGACAAGGGAATGGGGGACACAATGGGGAGAGAGAAAAAGAAGAGGATCAAGTCTTGGATACACGAGGAGAAAGTGGATTGCCTTTGCCTACAGGAGATGAAATTGAACGAGGAAAGGCTAGCAGATATGACCTCCTGGTTGAAAGGGCCCCAGGTATGGTCACCGGCGCAGGGGACAAAGGGGGGTGTAGCGATTCTGTTGCACAGGAAATGGTTACAGCACGTCATAAACTCGGAGGCAGACTTACGGGGCCGCTGGGCGTGGCTGAGACTGAGATGGGGGCAGGAGAATTTGGTAATTATGGGTGTATACACCCCATCCGAACCAAGCGGACGAGCTACCTTCTTCAAGAAGCTGCAGAAGGAGATTCCATAGGCTGACGGTTTGCTGTTGGCGGGGGACTGAAACTTGTTATTGGATGATGCAATGACTGAAGGTTCCACCTCAACGGGGAGATCCGACGCGATAGCACTGCTGGATCGCCTGAGGGACCAGGACCTAGTTGACCTCTTCCGCATGTTGAACCCTGATGACCCGGGGTACACATGGTTCTCCAATATCAGGAAAGATAGAGGAAAGGTAGCTAGAAGGCAGTTAGACTACTTCCTAGCCGGGGAGTCCCTGTCCTAGAAGGTCCTATCGGTAAACCACCATGCTAACCCAATCTCTGATCACAAACAAGTGGTGCTAGAGGTACTCCTAGATACGGTCATGGAGAGAGGAATGGGCTACTTCAAGCTCAACAACTGGAACTTGGAAGAGCAAGGAGTAGAAGATTGGGTGAAGGATCACATGAGGGACTAGCAGTCTGTGAGGGGACTCTTCCCCTCATCGGCAACCTGGCTGGATGGAGGCATGACAATCATCTTAGGAATGCTTGATGTCTATTCCCGGATCTTAGTCAGAGATCACAACAGAGAAGAGGCGGAATGTAGGAAGGCAGTAGAATGGGCTGAATGGAAGATGGAACAGGATCCAATCTCGGAGCTAGTGTGGGCGGCCGAAAGGGAGAGAAGTCTAGCAAAGTGGGACAAGATCCAATTCGACAAGCATCAAAGGTGGGAGGAAGCTCTGAGGTTGAAAGGCGTGATTGTGCAGGACAGCCTCACTAAAGAAACATTCCAGAGGCTACTGCCCAGCAGAGAGTACCAACAGGTGGTTCAGTTGAACCACCCATTTGACGAGGGGGCAGATCCATCATCAGACCTGGGAGGAATGCTGGAGTACGCCCGCTTGTACTACGCGGACGTGTCGAGTACTAGACGTACACAAGACACCGTCCAGTCGGATCTATCTCAGGAGATAGATATGTGGACAGACACAACAGTGACATTGACGGTTGAGGAAAGACTCTCTTTGGACAGGCCAATAACGTTGGAAGAAGGTCAACAAACTTTAAAGACAATGGCGTCTGGCAAGTGCCCGGGGGTTGACGGACAGACGGTGGAATTTTACCGCAAGTGCTGGGAGACGGTCGGCCCTCCTCTAGTGGAAGTGTATAATGACATTCTCACAGGGGGTAGACTGGGTAAGGGGATGACACATGGGGTTATCTCGCTGATGTTCAAAAAGGGAGACAAGGTCAATTTCCGTAACTACCGCCCTATCTTTGTGCTCAATGTTGACTACAAGATTCTAGCTAAAATGCTAGCGCTGAGATTAGGGAGGTTGCTACCAAGACTAGTGGAAAGAGATCAGGGTGCTTTTGTGCAGGGAAGGTCTATATTTGTTAATATCCTTACGGCTATCGAGGCAATTGAGGTAGTACAGGCGGAGAACAGGGACATAGCAGTCCTTATGCTAGACTTGGAGAAAGCATACGATTGAGTGGGATGGGCATTTGTCCTGACGACATTGAGGAAGATGGGTTTCGGTGATGGATTTTGCAGCTGGGTGATTGCAATGTATACGCATTCAACTTCAGCGGTAGCTGTCAACGGCCACCTGTCGCAATCATTCCAGCTGTCCCGCTCGCTGCGCTAGGGCTGCCCCCTTGCTCCCCTCCTCTTTGTGCTCCAGCTCGAAGTCCCCCTGAACTGCATCAGGAAGCACCCGGGCATTCGCGACATTCAAATTTCGACAAACAGGGACTGCAAGGTGAAAGCCCTGGCTGACGACCTGTTTGTGGTCTCTGAGAACTCCAAGGCATCCCCGAAGGCGATCAAGGCGGTGCTAATGAATTACTCGCAGTTGTCTGAAGCACTAGTCAACTGGAACGAATCAGCTTACATTCTCCCGACACAATATTCGTTACAAGTGGAACGGGGAATGCAGCGAGTGGACTCTAAGGCCGGGGAGCGGTTCCTGGGCGTAATGGTAAGCCTACAGATCATGGAAGGAGCAAAGGGCCTGGTCCTGCAGCAACGAATAATGACCAAACTCAGGGCCTGGGGATCTGCATGGCATCTGTCCCTGTTCGGGAGAGCTTTGGTTATCAACGTGACCCTGTTTTCCCTCATCTGGTATGTCGGCACGGTGAGAGAAGTTTCGAAGTCTGCCTTCATGGAGATCAAGAGACTAGCGGCCAGGTTCCTCTGGAAGCCCACGGCTAAAATGGACGAGGGTTTCATTGTCAAAGTCGCATGGGAGCTGATAACCTTTCCAAGAGATCAAGGGGGCCTAGCTCTGATTGACCCCGAGCGGAAGAACAAAGCCCAGCTTCGCATGTGGCTGTCCCGGGTAGCGATGGCAGAGGTAAAGGAAGATTGGGTGTACCTAGCAGAATTGATCCTCATGCGTTTGTGGAAACTGCAAAGAGCGGAAGACGTGTGGCCCTGCTTCTTTCTTCCCTCTTTCATGAAATAGAAGCTTCACTCAAAATTTTGGGACGCTGTTCGGAAAGCATGGATACACCTGCCGCCAGATAACCGCACCGCGCCACGCACCAAGGAGGAAGTTCTGCAGTAGTGCCTATCCGAGAATCCCAGCATTTCCAGACCAGACGGGTCCTTCTTCTCAGCAGGTACAGAACCAGGTACATTTGGTAGAGCCTGGGTTCGGAGAGGCATTTCCAGGTTAGCGGATCTATGGTCCTCACTCACAAGTTCCTGGCGTCCGCTCCCAGAGATTATGGCCTGCGGAATGTGGAGGAGAACTGGCTAAGCCTGCTGTCAGCAGTCCCGGAAGAGTGGAAGTCTTTACTGGGTCCAGAAGGTTTGGACCCGATGGACACCTGGTACTGTCCAAGAGTGGGGAACGGACTGGAAGTTTGGAAGGTGCAGGAGCTTACCACAGCAGGGTTCAGGAAGGTTCAAGTGTGGGAAGGCTCTGGGCAGAATGATTCCGTGCAATTGAGAGGGGAGGAGGTGATTATGAGATGGGATAACCCCCTACAGCCTGAGGCAAGGGTAATCGGGTGGAAGAATGACAGAGGGGGACTCATAAGGAGTCCATGGGTAGGAAAATGCCCACTGAGAAAGTTGGCGATTGACCCGTTAGCCTGGGGTTGGAAGGGGAACAGAACTGCAACCCTCCCATCCACAGTACTGGATCTTTCCAAATTCTCAGTAGGTGACTCCTACAAGTTGACGGAGGACTGCAAACGCTCCCCCACCTCAGTCGCCATTACCAGATGGAGCGCAGTACTTCTTGACGACCTGGAAGGAGCTGCGAAGGACTTCAGGAGACTCTGGGGGGTGTTGCAGGAGCTGCCGGACCCTAAGAAGGCAGCTATCCTCTGGATGCTCTCATTGCTGGTCACCCCCTCAGCAGTCTGGCTGGTTGCGAGAGGGGTAAAGGTCAGCCTAGGCTGCACAAGATGCACCTGGCCATTCGAATCCACCAAACATCTATGGTGGGACTGTCCAGCTTCTAAGAGGGTCTGGAAGTGGTGGGCACAGCACTGGGAACAGTTGGGAGGAACGCTGGTTACCTGGGATGAAAGGTGGGTGTTACTGGGTTTCACGCTGGAAGGTCACACAGGGAAGAGGGGCTGGCCCTATGTAGCTCAGGTGATAAGGGTGGTCATCTGCTCCGTCATTTGGGCAGACAGGAACAGGTCTCGGTTCGAACACCGCCCGTTCTCGGATATTGAGCTCAAGGCGGCAATCAAGAGAGGCATTAGACAGGCTATTCTGGTAGATTGGAGTAGGAAGGCGAGGAAAGGCAAAGCCCCCAGGAGAGAGCTGTGGTGGTTCCTCAGGACATGGGCAATAGGAAACCAGCTGGCAGGGGTTCACAGCACCAGGGGTATGATTGTGACTGAATGGCTACTGAAGTAATGTGCAGTAGAGACAGTAGGGACATATAGGAGGGAGGATACCTGTTTGGTGATCACTGTTCCAACTAGGGCACTCGGTTGATTTAGGGCCGCGGTGGGCCTATAGGAGAGTGTCAGTAGAATCAGGACCCAGACCATGGGGTCCGGTCCACTGGGCCGCCTTAGTCCCAGGAGTAGGAGGTAATAGCAATTTAGCACGTTAACTTATTTTCGGTGAATCAGACATAGAATGTTTCATTAGAACTGATATTCAAATCAAATGGAAAGTGGGTGCTACCTACATCAGAATAGACAATTAGTAGTTGGAAAGTCAGTAGAGGAGACTTTCTGCAGGCAGTTGCCTATAAGCTAAGCTGGCTGATGCTGTCAGTAATCCCGGGTTGAATTGTGAGGTCCCCGGCCTCGATCCTGGTTGTTATATAATGAACTTTTCGTTGAGGAAAAAAAAAAAAAAAAAAA